GTTTTGGCTTCTCCTATTTCAGCAGTCTCTTTTGCTTTCCGTTGTTCTCTCATGAGCAACTCTTTAGTCTCTTGAAATTGAAGTCGCAATTCTTCCAAATCTGACTGTAGCTTTACATGCTCTTCAGTTTTGGCTTCCACTAATTCAGCATTTTCCTTTGCTTTCTCTCGTTCCCTCATGAGCATTTCATTCGCCTCTTTAAACTGAAATCGGATTTCTTCTAAAGTAGACTGTAGCTTCACAAGTTCTTCAGTTTGGGCTTCTTCTATCCTAGCCGCCTCCTTTGCTTTCTCGTGCTCTCTCATTAGCAAATCTTTGGTCTCTTGAAGGTGAAGTTGAATTTCTTCCAAAGCAGACTGTAGCTTCATAATTTCTTCAGTCTTAGCTTCCTCTATACCAGCCTGTCAGAAGTCCAATTCGCAACTCATATTCCAAATTGTTGCCACAATAATAAACAAGCTCACTAAAGCTTTAATCACAACCTAGTTAGGCTAGCAACATCGATATGTGAAATCAATCACAACAGTTACACTTTTTAACCTTAACATCTGGAGGCATTGACAAACATGTCTAAATCTATCAAAGTTTGTTTCCTCCATTAGAAAGTGGCACCACTTGTCCATTTTTTAATTAAATATTATGAATTTGTACACAACTACACATACATAATAGCATACATATCATGATTGCAGCTATTTACACATATTCTGGTTCTTTACTGCCCAACATTTGTGCCATGAAGAACAAATGGCTTAGAATTTGCAAAACAACAACCCCATCATAATCCAAATCGCGTTGGGGGTGGGGTCGGGGGGTCAAAGATGTATGCAACCTTACGGCTGCAAAAAGCAGAGAGGCTGTTACGCTAGACCCTTGATGCCTTTTCTACCCAAAACATTATACAAAGTAAGAAGCAAAGGAAGTTCAATGTGATATTTTGATTTAATCCATTATTTACCCCAAGCAAAACCATTGTAAGAATGACTCTTTTAGCTCCATTGCGATGGGCATAGCATAGGATTATAATTCTCCTCTATCTCCATTAATTAGAGGGCATTACAAAAAGGAGCAAGTAGATCAATACTTATTACTAGTTTACACTTAATACATGATGGAAATAGTTAAACTTGCTGGGTATAAATTGAAAGCAGCCTTATAAATATCTAGTGCATAAAAACATATATCAAATGTCACCAATGGACCAGATATCGACTATCAAAGTATCGAGTCAAGTGCCCATTGAAGTTACATGCACACCCGCACACATGCACCCATAGACCTGGCAATCGGGTCAATCGGTTCGGAGCCAGGTCGGGTCGGTTCAGTTTGATTCTGGGTTTAATTTTGTTTGATTTTTTCCGATGTCAGTTCGGTCTCGATTCGGTTAGCGGGTTTATAGCGGTTCAGGTTTATGCCGGTTTCAGATGAGATCCCTTGGTGTTAGAGTTCCTAATGTTAGCCTTGTGTGAAGCCTACCATCCCTATGGGTAAAGGGGGTTATATATACAAGTGTCACGAATAATGGGCCAGTATATCTAACAATGTGTGTTACGATGTCACTATAAATTATATATACTCTTATAAGATTACACAACCATCTTAGTTAAGTGATAAAATACGGAGCAAAAGATTTGTGCATGAAATAAATTGTACATATAGCCCAAATATGCTTTTCTTAGAAAGACATCAACTATTGAGCTATGAGGTTTGATTGGATTTGAGTTTAATTTATTTTGAACTTGATCAATATCTGGTCTAATTGGTTTCGGTTCTAATCGGTTATGGGTTTAGTCAGTTCCGGGTTTAACCGG